GCGACAGCCTGCGTAATGGCATATTTTTTATATATTAAGCTGAAAATAGTGTTCGTTAATCTCTCAAATACTCTTCTTTGCCATAAAGGCTTCATATAATTTGTAATTATAAATAGTTACGTATCCCTTATCTAAATATTTGTGTGTGAACATGCACAATAGTAGGCAGTCGATTATTTTAGCTAAAATAGTGTTGTGTAATGCCTAAACATGTTACTTATAACACTAGATAAATGTGCCTACAGATTGGCAAATAAACACAAACTTTAATAGAATTTCAAAAAGTTTATTTCCACAAACTCTTCTGCAAAAATGAAAAATGAACAGTGTTGTACAACGCTGTTGAGTCAAACTTATTATATGGCAAACATTTTACAGCCCTCTTAGTGGCCGTGTGGCTTGCATTTTAAGTGAGCCACGTAAATTTTATTGTATACAATTCGCATTTCATTTTATTTCATTTTAGTTTAGTTCTGTTTAGTTTTATTCAATGTTGCTGCCTTCTACTGCGCATCATTTGGTCTCATTTCGCTTATTTATTTTGCCTGAGTGGCTGCCGCTGGGCGCAAAGTGTATTAAAGTTTGCTAATGATGTCAGTTATGTTTTGCCTTGCCTGCGCACACAAAATTCATTTATTTAAAACTTTTGCACTTTGGGGCATTTAACACGGCGTGAGCGAGATACAGCGAGAGGGACAGAGAGAGAGAGAGAGAGAGGGAGTGAGAGGGAGGGTGTATGTGGGCGTAAGGTAGAGAGACACACACACACATACTCGCGGCGACTAGGCGAAAATTTATTATTGCATGTCAGATATTTTTAATTAATTATGCCGTGGCAAAATATGCGCCGCGCTCAAAAGTATGCTATAGTTTTTTGTCTTTCGCACTCGCTTCATTGGGCGAAGCCAAAGACTGCGCCCGCTGCAGCAGCCGCTCGAACCGCGGCAGCCCCCCCCCCCTACGCTGTTGGCCGTCGCTTTTTAATTAGAGGCAACCACAAAAGATTTTTGTCAACGACAGCGCCACGCCCCCTTCTGGTTTTTTTATACAGCCCACTTTAAAGCGCAACGAGCCGCAAATTGTTTAACCCACTTTGAAATACACGCAAACAAACAAAAAACAAAACCGTACTGAATGTTGTCAAAAGCTAATCCCAAATATGATATCCTCTCTGTGTACTTTACAGTGTCCAAAATGCGCAACTGGCTGGCGTCGAGTCCTGCCAGTCCGGCCAGGTCCTGGCTGGCTGCTAATTAAAAAAGCGTTGCCTACGTGAACTGGGTAAGTTTTTCCGTTGTTGTTATTTCTCAACACTTTTCTATGCTTTTGTGTTACGCTCCTCTTCTTTTTTTTTTGTGTTCTTGTTTTGTTGTATTTGCACAGCTTTTGACATAATTTTTCGCGTGCTGCCGCCTGTTATCCTTGCTGCAGGTGTGCTATTCCATATCCTTTTCACAAGGCCCCTTGTTGGCCCATCGCTACGCAAATATTTGCACATGTTTAATGCGTCGTTCGACGTGTTGGCCATTTATTTGTTTTATTTTCTACTTTTATTTTTTGTATTTTGTATATTTTGTAGCCCTCTGTTGTCCTTCTGCTCATTTAAATATTTACCGAGCTGCCGATTTCGTCTAGCAGTTGTCCTTTTTTTACTGCGCCTGTGTGTGCGCCTTTGTGTGTGTGAAAATTAATTTAAGTAATGCGTTGTGCCTAGGCACATTTATCTGGCGTACGGCAAATCCTTTTTAATATGCCTGAAAAACATTTTCATTTTTCATTTGTCACTTGGCCTCTGAATTGTAAGGGAAGGATCAAGGCAGTCGGCATTTCTCGACTGTAGCATGTGGCATTCAATATTCAGGGCAAGAAAACCACATCAAATGCCGCATAAAGTTTTCGACTGAAATTGGCATGCAGACCTTGTGACTTTTTGTGGCAGTGTTGTTAAACGTGGCAAATACCTGTAGTGTTGCACGGCCTCAGCATATTTGCTGCTGTTGTTAGTTTCTCTTTATCACACAGATCAGATTAGGGCATCAGTGTTAAGCATTCGTCAAAGTCTGTGTCTTGCTTGTGTCGGCCAGTGTTGCAAAGCGTTGACAATGCCTACTGTGTTGCAAAGCTTTGCTGCTGCTTCTGCCTCCTCTTCTTCATCACACAGATCAGCTAAAGCAATCAGTATCAAGCATCATCGACATTTTCTGAGTCATGTTTTTTTTTTTCGTTTTGTACGATTCCTTTTGCAACACTGGATAATCCGTGAGGGAAATTGCGCTGGCTGTTGTCGCATGCTCTTTGTGCCTGCTGCCTGCTGATGAGTTGCCAATCCCAAGGTTACTCAATCAAATTGCGGCGCCTGCCAGGATGCAGGACTACGGATTCGAGACTGTGCCACTCGACTGTGCGACTCGTGTAACTCGAGTTGTTGCTCAGCCGTTGGCGTTGAAATCAAATTTCATTTGCAGGCAAAGTTTTGGCTTTTACTTAGTTTTACTTTGTGCATGCGCTTCTTCTTCTTATTCTACTGATTGCGATTCTTCTACTTTTTCTTCGCCTTTTCACTCTGCCATCGACAACTGTGCGACGCTCTGTTGACAACCCAAGTTCCCAGCAAATCAACAGCAACAACAACAACAACAACAACAATGGAAAACCTAACGCAAAACGGTCATTAATCATTTGGGCTCTATTCCTATCTGTGTGTGTGTGAGTTGTGTGTGAGTTGTGTGTGTGTGTGTGCCGCATATGAAAGCGAGGGAAAGCGAGCGAAAAACATAAACTACGTGCACTGCAAAACTGAGAAACTGTGAGAAACTTGATGCTGCGACGCTGTCGAACTGAGATTGAGGTTGTGCTACATTTTTTCGCCTTTCTTTATTTTCGAGTAGATTCGACCAAGGCAGAAAAACAACAAAAATTATATTCGTTTTTTTTTTGTACTTGGTAATTGATGAAATTATAAGTTTGAATTGTTCTTGTTTCCACAGACGCGATTTTATTTACTCTTAACTCACTTTTACCTGATTCCTGTATTCTTTTACGCCTCAATATCGCAAATTGTGTCAACAGTTTGTTCTCTTTTAATTATTTGTTAAATGACTTTTGTTACAGTCTTAAGAAATAAGTTAGCATATGGTAAAATCATTTTCGCTACAATTTCGCCAATTTAACATTAAATACTTTAAGGCGTATTGCACTGATCTATTACAGAGTCAGCTGTGATTCAATGCAATTTAAACCTAACTAGTAGTAGTAGTGAATAAAAATCCTAATAAAGACATATGCCCAACCTCTTTTGAAGAGAACTATCAGCTTCAATTTCGCCAGAATTTCGCCAACTCTAAAAAGAATACTTTTATACTTAATCAAGAGTAGTAATAACTATTGCAGCTGACAGTCAAACAGCTGTTTAATTTGAGCCCCAATGAAGGCATATAACCCCTTTAAAGAGAGCTCTGAAAATTGCTTTCGCCACAATTTCGGCAACTCTATATATTAGACTTTTAGGCAATTTAAAGTGTAGTTAGAAGAACTAAAGCATCCAACAGTCAAGCAGCTGTTTAATTTGAACCCCAACCAAGACATAGGCCCAACCCCCTCTGAAGAGCGCTATTAAAATCACTTTCGCCACAATTCCGCCAACTTGAAATCAGAAACCTCTTGAGCAAAGGCATGTTGGCAACACGTTGGGCCCAAGATGCCATTTGGCAATTAGTAGTTGCTTCCGAAAGCCAAACGAGGTCCAAAAGTCAAGACTGAGTTGAATTTTCTTACATATACATGTTTTTTTTTTTTTTTTGATTAATATGTGCGCCTAAATGTAGGCAGCAAATCTTTGGACTATTTTCTTGGCTGTTGTTGTTGTTGTGAGAACAAATTTGCCTTCATTCAGCGTTTGACGTGGCCAAATTAAAGCTGCTCAGATTTCGTAGCTCGGCTGGCTGCCGTCGGCCGGACAAGGGTCTAGTCCTGCTCTAGTCCTTTCTGCCTTTTGTCTCTGAGCCGCTTTTGTTTGTTGTGTAATCTATGCGCTTGATGGCACAGCTGTTTGTCCAGACAGCACAAGAAAAATGCCAACAATTAAGTGGGCAGCACTGGCAATAGCAGCAGCAGGCGGACGCGGAGCGGAGGGGCATGATGTGATGCCTGTGGGCAATAGGCAATGCATTAATTTAATTAAAAGCGGCGCAAGTTGCGGTAAATTTGAAATTTGTGTAAATTAAACGTATTTAGAAAACACTCGAAAGCATTTAATTGGCATTTAGTTATGCCAAACGATGCTGCCAACCTGATTTGTGTGTGTGAGACAGGCGGTTGGCAGACTGATAGGCTAAGCTAAGCCAACACCCAACCCCCCTATATACAATCCCTTGCACACATGACGCCACTGCACACGGGCACAAAGGTCAGTAGCCTTATCAGCAGAGCGCGCTGTTGTTGTTGCTTTTGTTGCTGCTGCTGCTGCTCACCCACGCAGCTTCGCGCTCTTAACAGCTGCCAGCTCGATTTCTCTTAAAGCTTGCTCACGCTCTCACTCTCTCTCTCTCTCTCTCTCTCTCTCTCTCTCTCTTGACTGCTGAGATATGCAAGCGGTGGCTAATTAAAAGCCGCAGCCTCCCAATTTTGTTGTTTACATTGCCCCTCCAAAAGGCGATGATGACGACGTCAACAATGCTCTTTGGCCGCGTTATTTCCCCGCCACATCTTGCGCAAGCAGCACACTCGTATGCAATCGTGCACTCTTCCAATGCTGCGCTCTCGCACGCTTGCTTCCCTTTGCCAACCCACTTGTCCCAGTTGACGAAGCTTTTGGGCAGCTTCGTCGTGTCGTGTCGCGTCGTTTCGCGTCGTTTCGCTGCTGACGTTCGTTCGTGTTCGCAGCATCTTTCGAGCGAAATTCACTCCAGTTTTCTATTTTAGATTCATTTGGCTGCAGAACTCGCTCGTGTCAGGTTGGTTGGCGCGGCAAAGCGGCAATCAGCTGTGTGGCTATCCAGTTATACAGTTAACCCATAGACTACAAATTGTGTTAGCAGTTACTTATGCGTGTCAGTATGTGAGTGTGAGTGAATGCGTGAGTGCCGCCGACAGGCAATCAATACGAACTAGAAAAGGAGAGGGACAAAGAGACAGAGAGAGAGAGAGAGTGAAGGCGAGCAACAGCCGTCGGCATTTATACGGCAGGCCGCTATTTAAAGTTGACGTTGATGACGTATGGACAATAGATGTCGCCACTTAAAGCCGTTAACCAGCGGCCACGGAAGCAGACGGCGGAAATTACAAATGCGTTGACAGGCGGCGAACAACCAAAACGGCACAGCGGCTGCCAGCGACTGCAGCTGAAGATGTCTACGCAAGTAAGTAGAAGTGTCAATTTTTGGAATGAGTGGAAAATGAAACGAAATTGAGTGCTTTTCGTGTGACTATCAGTGAGTGTGCGAGTCTAAGTGTGTGTGTGTGCGCGAGTGTGTGAGTAATGCATACTAGCGTGCAGTTTTATGCTGCATACTTTTATGCTTCAACTTCGCTGTGTGCGTGCGTATGCCTGTGTGTGTGTGCGTACTGCCATATGTGTGCAAGTTTTCGCCAGTTTAAATATTAATCTGGCAACTTTTTAATGTGCCTGCAAATTGTTATGTATGCGAGTTGCACAAACTTTTCCAGCCAGGGCTCAAAATTGTAAATCCTAAATTGTTATTTACAGCCCAAAAAAAAAAAATAATAAAAATTGTCTGCTAGCAACAACTTTTAAAGCCAATAAATTAAATAAAAACAAAATCAAGACAGTCCATGCCAGAGAACGTATCCGTGGGCTGGCAAACAAAACGCGTGAGAAACCAAATTGAATTGAATTGCTTGACATGACGACAGTCTGCCCTTCTGCCCCAACACACACACACACACACACACACACAGCTATTGAAACTGTGCTGCAGGCATAGCCATGCATGCCACACCCCCGTCACACACACACACACACACACACACACACACACACACACACACACACACACACACACACACAACATTTTGGCCGCCCCTCTGGCGTGCTGTTTGCTTTTAGTATGCGACTTTTGGGCTAAAATTCTATAGCAATTTATTTGCTATCTTTTGCATGTGGGCGCTGCGCTGTGTGTGTGTGTGTGGGCGTGTCTGTCTGCTTCATTACAATTTAGCCAGGCTCAAAACGCTGCTGTGCACTTAACAGACAGCGTATTTGCATGGCAACCAGCAGCAAATCCACTCGAAGAGTACCCAAGAGTCTAGCCCGAGACTTCCAGTTGCTGGCTAAATCATCATTATTTATTTATGATTATTTTATTACATGCATGTGGGCCTGTGTGTGCCTGTGTGTGCGTGTGTGTGCATGTGTGTGCGTGGCAGCTGATTTCAGATACTTCTGCTCATATATCTTTCTATCTATATATATTTACCTATATGTGCTGATATTATATAGCTGCTATATGATTATCATTATTGTGCACCAGTTCCCCTCACAACCCCTCTTCACCCTTTGCAGCTTCTCCCTGTTGCAGCCAAAGGCCCAAAGCCAATCAGCTGCCAGTTGCCCGGCGTTGCGCCCAATGTTTGTTATTTGCGCACAAATAGACGACACTTGCGAATTGGCAGCTAGGCCAACGGGCCCCCTTCCTCTGCCACGCCCAGCGCCAGCCCTTCTGCGCCTCTGTTGGCCACTTGTTGATTGATTTTTATTTACTCGTTATTTTTTTTCTATCGCCTGCCCCCATTTTGGTTTAGAGCTAATTCAGACGCTGCTTGGGTTCTGTTTCTGGCTTCACTTCCGCTTCCTCTCTTATTCTCTTTGTCTCTCGCTCTCTCTCTCTCTCTCTCTGCGATAAGCCCTTATTATCATTTTCAGGCATTTGGCGTTTGCCGTCGCTTTGCATATTTCCGATAATGAAATGAGAGACATGCACCCGCACAAAAATCAACAAGCGCTCGTCGGCTGGCAACAATGTGCGCTCATTGTCGCAGCTACAGATACAGATACAGACACAGATACATCTGCTGCACAGCTACAGATACAAAGATACTACACGCACTGATTTAGTTTGCGCTCTGTGTGTGCGCCCCTGTCTGCGTGCGTGTGTGTGTGTGTGTGTGCCAATTGTTGGCAGGCACGAACAACGACTCTAATCTGAACGCATGACGCATGCAGATACAGATACAAAACCCTTAGATACATAGACTATATAGCATATAGCTTCAACTAGCATAGAGGCTGGCCCACGCTGCATTTGTTATAGAGCGCTACGCGGGTGGGTAAGGGGGGGGGGGGGGGGGGGGGGGGGTATCTTTTTGAGAATACAGCGGAAATCATTTATTAAACAGTTGCCTCAACTCGCTCGCCCTATCTCCCTCTCTTTCGCCCTCTCGCTCCCTTTCTCTAACTAGTCACTACTTTGATATATAGATATATGCATATATATTTAGCATATATATAAATATATATATAAATGTTCTCATTTATTTCAATTACTTTATATGTGCATTGACAGCAGCTCTCTCTCTCTCTCTCTCTCTCGCTCTCTCTCTCTCTCACTCTGTCTGTCTGTCTATCCGCCTGCCAATTTTCCAATTGAATTGTCTTTAATATTTTAATAATGTGGAATGTGACGCGTTTCATTGCTGCCCTCCTATGCTCCCCTCCGATGCCTGTCTGTACGTTTGTCCTGCTGTCAAGTCGAGTCCTTGTTCCCGTCCTCGATCCTTGTCCGTGGCAAGTCGTTGCTATTTTCTAAATCGCTGCCTGCCTCGTGATTGCCGCAAATTAGTCACAATCGATTTAGCAGCTCGTTACAACGGCCGCCAAAAACACCAAGCAACAACAACAACAACTGCAAAATAACTAACAACAACAGCAACAATAACAACGACAACAAGCACTGCAAACAACAACAACAACGACAACAAATAAACACTGCAAATGCGTGAACTAAACATAAATCGCTTCACGCATCAACTAAATTGACTTCTTGTTGTGCGTGTGTGTGTGGTTGAGTGTGTGCGTGTTTGCTCCAGTCACAGTTAACGTGGCTGTAACTAACTGTAATTGTTGCATGCACCGCACATAAATTGCGTTCAGTTGTTAAGCCTAATTCTGATTGGATTTGCGCTCTTAAATTCAATTGGAAATAATAGCAAAAAGTCATAAAAAGAATCTAATTTGTGATTTATGTCGGGACAGAAATTTATATAGAAAAAATCAATTTGACAGTTTATCGATCTATTTGGCGCAAATTCATAAAAATCAATTCAATGTGAGCCATTTTACCTGGGATTTATTTCGAATGTGGTCAGCTTTAATCCCACTGAAACGAAAACATAGTTTTCATGGTAAATTATTTATTATAGGAACATTTTAATTGACTGTGTTTAGCGCCAGCCAAAGCTACCTTGAGCTACCTAGCCTAGTATTAGAAACCTCATCTTTAACTCTTTAGTTTATAAAGCTTCGTTAAGTTTTAAGCTTTCAAATCTCGTTCGTAATGCACAATTGACGCTCTTTATAACAGCTTCATTTGGTTTTGCACATTTTAAAGCGTTAAACTTATAATAACACCCTATTGCAACACTGTAAACGACAGTGCTTTCGATAGACGGTCTTTATATTCGCATTTTACAACACTTAACATTAAATAACACCTTGTTAAAACATTGCAAAATACAAGCTATCGTTAAACGCCCCTTATAACTTAGCTTCATTAAATTTCTCGCATTTTGCAACACTTAATTAAATATAACACCGTGTTAAAACACTGAAAATGATAAGATACCGTTAGATGCTGCTTTTAGAACAATGTTTGGTAGATACTTCAAATTTAATTAAAAACTTAAGTGCATAGCTTAACTAAAAAACATACAGCAGTGTTGAACAACAGCAAAAAGCTGAACTCTCAGTGTTTATAGCTAAAACTACTTTGCTAGAATATTGAATACTTGTAACTGAAGCAGCAAATTAATAGTTTAATAGTAACTTTCGAGCTGTATGCTAAAATATTTATAACAAGTGCTTTTTATTAATATTCAAAAGAAACTTGATTTGCCCACATTTCAGACTCAACTCAACTCGTTTAAAGCGTATGAATTTCAATTTGAATAGATAGCATTTAAATTTCGTTAGGGCTTGCAGACATCCAAGCCTCTGTGTATATGTTTCGCTCATGTTATTATTATTATTTTCTTGTGCTTTTTTGTGTATTTATTTTTGATAAACCCTTCAAAAATATGGCAAACTTTTCTAAGCTGCGGGCTTAACAGGCATACGCATAATCGCAGGACTCTGCTCCACTGGGCTGCTGCTCCTGTTGCTGTTTGCTAATCCTCTCGAGCAACAACAACAAGCAGGGGAAGAGGAACAACACGAACAGCCGTAAAAGCGCCCGCAAAAACCCAACTGAAACCCAAAAAACCGACAAAACCCTAAAAACCCGATGCGCATGCAAACTAAATACCGTTATCGTTTTTCTGTTTTTTTTTCTGTTTTCGCCAAACTTTAGCGAAACAAACTATGCGGTTTCACTTTGTTAACAGCTCAGCAAATGTTTTGGCTTCGTTTTCCATAAGAGGGAGTGGCCGTAGGGGGGGGGGGGGGTCTGTCGGCCCATTGGTGGGACTGGCAAATACCAACAACAGCAGCCACAAATAATGCAAACAATCTTTTAAAAGACCACAAAGTTGCACGCCAGGCCAACGCATGTGTGTGAGCGAGAGTGCGCGAGGGGCGGGAGTGAGAGGGGGAGTGGGACTTGTTAGGTATCCTTTTCATATTGGCATATTACGAATTTTCATAACGTCTGAGCGAACATTTTGTAATCAGAAATAAATATACATATATATAAATCTTATTTTTTATATATTGCATAACATATAACAGCTGTCTCTAGCTACACTTCCGCTGCATTTTAATACGTTTTCCAACACACATTTGCAGTGTACGTGCACGAATTGTGTGCTGCTTGCTTTTGAGGCACAGCTGCCTTGACGTCTCTATGCACTTGTGTAGGGTATTTCAGTTATATCATCAAATGTGTAACACACAGAAGAAGAGAAGAAAATATCAATAAATATTGAATATTACAGAAATATTCATTAAATTGTATCTATTTCTCTAGTTAATCTAAATAAACTTAGTTAGTTCTTCTAAATCATCTTCGCATTCACATTAAATCTGCTCTTGGCCATAGTTTACTGCAAGCTTATCTTAATATTCTCACTTATCTCCCAATTCACATCAAATCAGCTCTTAGCCATGTATTTTTAAAGCGTATTTCATCTTCGGCTTGCTGCGAGCAGTCCTACTCTTTGCTTTTTGTTATTTTTTTCCAGTTGATTT